TCCACCAAAATAATTAAGCTTAAAGCACCTTTACTAACCCTTTTAACTGTAAGTAATTGAAGCAAAAAAAAGTCAAACAACATTTAGATAGCACGTACAGTTCTGTCACAAATAAGATAGATGCAATGATCTTCCCATGCTTCTTTGGGGCCTGCAATGGATTGGCATGTCTTGATGAAATGTTTTGTCCAGTCTAGACTTGTATTTGAAAGCCAGAAATGGTTCACAGCAGCGTATATTTGAATGTCGTTGCGCACCATCATTTGTATTTTCAGTTGGCTAGGCCTTTTAATTTGTGGCTCTAAAGCATCTACTTGATGGAATTTTTCTTCTAGTTCTTTTGAAGTGATGAACAAGTTTCCATGAGACCATGACAGTATAATTGACAGAGAAACCTCATTGGTGTAATAATGAACCACTGATGTAAACATGGAGATATGGAACCCAAGGTATTACCCTTGTTGATCAGTCTAATAATTAAGAACTGGTTTTGCATGGAGAAATAATAGCTAGCTAGGGAATAGAATTAACCAACATTCACACTTCCATTCGTCCGTATCCCACTAGAGATAAATGAATAGTTGTTGAAAAGGTTGGTATGTAAACATGTCTGATCCGGTCATATGCTTGTTTCCAGTTGCAGCAGGAAATGGCCAACTTCAGTCCTGAGCTCCTGAATCCTGATGCCTATATATGCAAGACAAAGGGAAGGGCATTTAGGTAAGATGCTCAGTACACTGATTAATTGTGGTATACATGAAATGGTACGAGTACAATCTGTTGACATACAGTCTAGTGGCTGAAAGCCGTTCGTCATCAGTGACAGCTTAAGCTGAAGTCTGAACACCTCGCACCAAATAAAAACTGACTGCAGTAAAGAGGACAATTGCACTTGTGCGTGCAATACCACAGATTGATCTGGCTGCATGGATAGGATAAGTTACAGGTAGGCTGTTTGAGTTGACGGGAGTGACAACCTAACCTGTGTGCTTTGATGAAACTGATGTAGATGCTGACATGCTGCAGTGTTTTTCTGTCTGACAGTCAGACTCATCCTGAACACGGCGACTGCAAAGGAAAGAGGTTCGGTGTTTATCTTGGAGCAACTGCCTGCCTTATACTCCTGTTTATACTAATATATAAGTATACCGTTAGATCTCGAGCGACCGAGTAGCCATTAGTCAATGCCTCGTCTTTACCTGAAGGGATTGCACAACAACTATACGCATGCTTATAATGGTCCAGACACAGTGGTTAGGATGTTTGGTAGTCATGCTATTTTCAGGCATGCAGTCTAGTATAGTAACCGGTCATGAAAAAGGTTAGTTAGAAAAGTTCCTTTGTTGCATGCATTGCCTAACCAATAAGCTGATTGGACAAGCTTCTTCCGTTGACTAGTATACTAGGTGCGTTTTGCCACCCCAATTACATTACAGCAGTATGCTAAGTATAGGAATTAGCCTTGATGGTTTAGTTCAACTGCTTCTCATGCTGGGCAACTGCAACCAACCTCTAGGTAATTTCCATCCGTGACCTGACTGACCCACACACAGGAACGCCAACTGTTGGACGGCATGAAGCACTATGCAAAATTCATGAACTATTCATGATCTCATACCATCCTTAGTTTCTAACCATGAACCTGTAAATCAAATAGAAAAATGCACTATTAATACTAGCAATATACGTTTTTCTCTTTTTCATTCTTCTCTGTTGTCTAAACATCTCACAATATGTGCTTGGAAATACTTGTCGTTGCGCTCACAAAATTCTGTCTGCAGAGTCCTGCAAGCATGCTGCTATAAGGGACTGCTGAATTGATGATACTTGATTTTCAGTATTTAGTTTCAATCCCCACCGGCCCACACTATGCGTAAATTCTGTAAAAAAAAATCTGTATAATGTGGACATATGTTGGCACATGCAGGAAATCGTTAGTAAGCTCGAAGCAATGAATAACACTAACAGTACCAATTCCTCGACGTTTTCTAGAAGAGCTGCTGGTGTTGTTTGCATCTGACTGAACCGGACCTTAGCTTGTTGCAGTGAAATGTTTGTATGCATATTCACACTCAAATCTTTAGTTGACTAGTAGTACTTAGCAGGTACCTTTTGCCTTGTTGTTCATGTGATGTCACAAGACACAAACAACAAACTCAGTACTATTATTGTACTACAACATGTAACTGTCAATCCGTGAATTCAGGCTATTGCTGATTGCTCCACAACAGAAACAGATCAGGTAACAATAGCAAGTTCAGAAGCTACTCATGCTGATTCATCAGAATCATCACCGCCCTCTCCTATGGCCAGACAAGTAAATCAGATAGAAAAAAAAATTGCATTATTAATACTAGTAGTATTCTGCTCGTTTCCATCCTTCTTCGTAGGCTGCTACAGGGACGATTCTAGCGCAAATAATATTTGCCTATACAAACTGAAAATTACCTAGAAACGCAACAAATGATGATCAAGAGAATAAAGAATCAAAGAATTCCTAGATATCTCTCTTGCTACTTAAACCATTCTTTCTCTTCTCGTAATTTCTGTCGGGGGAGCCGCACAAGGAGGAGAATAGGCTGGCGGCAGTGCCGAAGAGACTCGGGAAAAAAAGATAGACACGACGGTGAGTTGATGGCCAAAAAGTTCCTAGAAGAAGTAGGGAGAATACACGCCGAGAAGATGGGACTGAGAGCATCTCCAACGGGGACACTAAACAGAACCCCTACTCTATTTTTCCACTAGAGCAAAAAGACTTAATCCAACAAACCCCATTCAAGTTCTATTTTATGGTGACCCCAAATCTCCCCCTCATCCCACACTAACTCACTCTCATGTCTTTCTTTTAAACCCAACTCTCTCCCATGTCACTGTCGATTCCCCTCCCATGGCACTCGTACCAACATGGAGCCTTCAAAATCAAAACTATGAGCCTGATTTGAGGACACCTGCTAGAGTTGCTCTGAGAGGACAGATTTGGGGGCCCAATAAATAGGTGATAAGTATCGATATGAATCGGCAAGGGGATGGCCCGATCTTCACGACAGTAGGTCGAAGAATCGAAGATAACTTGCTGCGAACAGCGGGGTAACTAGCTTTATACCTGTCAAGGTTGGATGCGACCAAGCGACAGGGAGAGAGGCACCGAAACCACGAAGACTTTGACTCGATCTCCAAACAACCGCAGAACCACAATCTGAACTAATCCACACAAAACAGTGCAGCCGTATTGAAAATCATAGAGCACGAACTAGAGAAACCTAGAGGGATCACTTCACAAGTCCAAGAAGAACAAAGGTTTGAGTAAGGCACTTGACAGCGCGACTACAATATCATGTAGTTTATCAAATCATCAAAATGTTCCTAATAGCTTAGAGGTAGGGGATATTTATATTAGGAACAACCCTTCTAGTTGGGTGTGAAAACGAAATAGAGTTTCTGAAGACTATGTGAAAGGTCACCACGAGATGGATTCCTGAAGTGGTCTCGCGTGACTGGCTTCCTGAGTAGTCTCCACTAATTTAGCCATAACTTTTTATTGGGAAGTCCAAATGATGAACCGTTTGTTGATCAGTTAAACCACCATTAAAACCACTCAAGATAAAAAAAATGAGTATTTTTAAAAGTTGAGGAGGTAAAAAAAAGACTAATTTTGTAATTCAACAAAATTAAACGGCCGCGATAGTCGAGGAAATAAATTGGATTTTTCCCCTATCCGCTGTCGTCCAGCAATTGGGCCATGACGAGCCCGTGACGTGTTCCACCACGTATTCGGCCTCAAGCCCACGGCCCAGATAGAGGGGTTCCGTGCCTGCTCTGCTTACACCCAGCTGGACTTTTCCCTTAAAAAAAAGAGAGAGAAAAAAAAAACAGCTGGACTTGCAAGCCAACAAGTTTAGACCTCCCTTTTGCCACGTCGCATGCCAACACGACATTGTCACATTGACGGCACCAAAGTTTCGTTTGTTTTGTTTGGAAATATAAACCATAATAACGTGAGGGAAGCGGATTCATGGGTCATGACCGGCGAGACCACGCCCACTTCATCCTGGGCATTTTGAGTAGTTTATTGTCTACTTTGGATCTAAAAAAATTATGTCCTCGGGCTATACACATGCACCGCCGGTACAACTTCGGCTAGGGTTGCCATGTGAAAATCGAGAAATGCCTTATCATAATCATCGGTGAACAGGAGCACTTCATATCGGTGATGAACTCCTTGCCGACTTACATCAAACACTAGAATTGCATATTTTTATGTCTTGGAAAGAAGTCATGGAACCTGATGTTTAATTGTATCAACACATGGATAATGTGAAATTTAAAGTTATGATTTATTTACAAGCAAACATGACTGCTTTGCAACATTAGAAAAATCCCTCAAGGTTTCACTTTAATTGGACTCAAACTTAATAGGAATATTGTTGCTATCATTAATTTAAATATGTATCCTTGGAGGGGGTGTCCCATTTACACACACCAGGCCACACCAAGCATTGGGAGTATATAAAATGTTAAAAATCTTGTACATTTTCATAGGATCATGATGAGCACTCAGCATCGCATCGGAAAAGTGAACCTAATAATTTCATTTCAAAAGAAGAAAAAAATAAATCTAGTAATCTATTCCAGCAAGTATTAGGCCTAAATTTGACGGCTCAAATAAAGGTCTTCTAGTTATAATAATAGACTACCTGGCTTTGCTATTGCTAAAAAACAAAACTAGTAGTACTAACTGATTGATGTCGAACGTGTAGGGCAAGCCAACATTTCTTTGGAAATATACTCGATCGGAGCCTGGGGAAAAGCTTAATCCAACACGATGTACTATGCCGCACCGTACGGATCGATTCCGATCCTGATGTCCCCGTGCATATATATAGCTGAGGGTACCAAGCAATAATAATCCTCCAATCAGCCGATCAATTGGTCTCTGCAGCCTGATTAACCCGCTCCGATCCCTAATGTCGTCTTCGTCCAGGTCTCCACGAAGAAGAACCATGGTGGAACACGCGGACGCTACTAAATTTGGATCGTCCATGTCGTCCTGTTTGCCTTTGCTTGTCTTCCACCATCATCCTGGTGATGGCCAAGAGGACGGTGACGACGAGATGCTAATGTTCAGCATATCCAAGCAAACCCTGCACAAGAACATGGAGCATGACCTTCTAGCCGCAGGCAGCAGCATGTGCTGGACCACTGCACAGGGCTGGATACTCGCCCAGGACCGTGGCACGATGTCTTCTTCGACTTGTCTATGGAACCCTAGCACCGGCACCGAGCTACCCTTGCCAGATCTCGGAGAGGAGCACCAGATCCCATACCAATGCAGGTGCCTGCTCTCCCACAAGGACCCAACTCACCCAGGATGTGTTGTGGTGCTCTTCAATAACGCCGCGCCTGATCTCTGGTACTGCCACACCACCGGCGATGGCGACAACAGCAGCAGGAGGTGGAGACGTTACTCATAAGACATCGGTAACCATCCTTCTATGCCAGAGCCACCGAAGGGGAGAAAGGCACGCCTCCGTTGCCGTCGCCGTCCTACCAGGAACATGATCACCTTCATGGCTTCCGTTCAAGGGAAAATCTACTCCACCAATTTGACTAAAGGCATGTGCACCATGGATTTCTCATCCTGCAATTCCACAACAAATCCTCAAAACCACCCTACATTCCAAAAATTCAATGTCCCTTTGGCCAATCTCCCTAAAGGAGTGTCCATGGGTAGACACTGGTTGGTTGAGTCGCAGGATAAACTCTTTTTAGTCACCACCTGCTTTGTTGGCTTTGATCTAAACAACATTGGCACCGTAGAGGTGCATAGGATGGATTTCTCCTCAACACAAGCTTGTTGGCGCAGTGTGCATGACATTGGAGATGTTGTGTTTCTCTTGGAGGGTACAAACATGGCGGCTTCTTGCTCGGCGAGCGCTCTGGGACTGAAAGCAAACCAGATATTCTTTATGAAGGATGTCATGGATGCTGATGCTGATTTGTGCATTTTTGACTTAGAAACAAACACCCAACAGATTACCCGAGTCCACCATCATGACAACTTGATTCTCTGGCGCAAACCTTTCTGGATTGTGCCACCTAGCTAGCTAGCTAAATATACATTATTTCTTGTGATTTTACTTCAACTTATGTGAAGAGACACCATATACGAACAACTATGTAAGTTTGTATACATACAGAACATACTCCTGGTTTCATGTTATGGCAGGGTACTATATCTTCTTTTCATAGGATTTTGTCAAAATATAATCAATTTGCTTATATTTCCCAATCAGCTCATTAGGCTATTGAGTTCATCTAGATAATCAGATGTGCAGCTGTGCTGCATCCAACGTATTGTTGTCTTGTGCACTTGTGCTCCTGTGACCACCGCTCCTCTGCCTCCACTAGCTTCAGCTGCAGCCTGCATCAGCTGCTCCGTTGGAGCCCCTCCACCACTGCTATCGTCCACTTTGGAGTTCAGTAAATATAATCACTACTGCTACTAATAGTATAAAGGAGGATAAGGTAAAACTACATTAGAACGCAGCAAGAAGGGTGTCACAGTATGCATATAACACAAAACTAAATATTGAGGAAAAACATATGCAGACAGGAAACTCACCAAAATGTCTTGGCCCGATTCTGAGATATTGCACTGGTCAACAACAGCATAGTAATCTTAGAATGATAGCACCTCATAGTCAGTCGATAAGCCTCTAAACAGTTGAATAAGAAGAAGAAAAGAGACACAAGAAACTCACCAAGATGTTGTGACCCAATTCTGAGAGATTGTTTTGACCAGCAACACCAACAAGAAAGCCCAATCTACGATAGCAGCATTCCGTAGTCAGTCACTATATAGGCAAATAAATCTTCATACATTTGTTTGTCTGACAGATGAGTTTGCAGCTGCTAATGAGGATGTAATTGTGGTAGATTTCTATTTGGATGTGGCATGCATCCTAACTCTTGTAAAACATTATGGTTTATACAAGGGCAACATCCTTGCAGCACTAAAGAGCACATATACACTCTGCAACTTTAGAACGTATGATGTTAGGGAGGGAGAGGGTCTCACCTCGATCTGTGAAAGCTATTGCCACCACAACAAACACAAGGAAGGCCAAGCTAGTAAGGACATCATATCTCTTTATTATTATACATCATCGTCAAAAAGCAGGTCCAACGTACTAACTACTAAGGATTATAATGATAAGACAACTCGGTAGTAATAATAGTCTCGTACCACAATATATGGAGCGATTACAGCGCTATCCTCGCCCGCAAACAAGAGTGGAGGCATTGGCCAAATAAATTTTTTTAAAAATCTTACCTTCCTTTTCTGTTGCTTATTATGTTTCCAGAAAACTCATTTTTTGCACATATAAGACATACTATAAACTATAAAGCCCAAATCAAGTGCACGCAACCATATCTTTTACTGGTGCGAGTTGAACACAAATTTCGTGATGTTTACTGATTATTATCATAACGGGTAATAAAAATACAAATATAGTGCGATGAATAATAACAAGGCATAACAAGAATATTTTTCTGCTCATCAGGTTTCTCAGATCATACATAGGACACCACTAGATCGACCAGACTAGTAAATCCAATGCTTCATTTCCTTGTGTACTCTAGCTATAGTTCGGCGTAATCGATCAAGAATTCAAGAAATGATAATGGCCCCTCACTCTCCTGGCGAGACGAGAGTGCATCTAGATCTCTCATCAGACACGGCCTCCGGTGGCGGAGGCGATGAAGGACAGCAGCGGGTTACCGGCGCCACCAGCAGCCTGGTCAACCTCATCGAGGAACAGGTCCTCAGGCACGCGGCACGCGCCGTGCGCGCATACGACCGCCGCGCCCAGAGCGAGCGCGGAGAAGATGAGCGAGCCCACGGACGTGAGGAAGACGACGAACGCGGAGGCGGCGACGAGCCCGCCCAGCACCTCGCGGTCGGAGAAGGTGCGGCCGAACGCGGCGAGGGGCGGCGCGTCGGCCGGGCGGAGCACGTAGAGGAGGCACCAGGCGGCCAGCAGCGCCAGCAGCGCGGCCAGCGAGAACGGGTGCGCCAGGAGCGCCGCGGCCAGGCACAGCGCGGCCACGGCCGCGTAGTTGACGCGGAAGTAGGCGAGGTTCTTGCGGAGCCGGGAGGTGGCCTCGGCGAGGGACTCTGGGCGGGAGAGCGCCGAGCGGTCCGCCAGCTCGGACCAGGGGCGCGCGCCGGAGAGAGCGCGACGGGAGGTGTCCACGAGGCCAGAGAAGAACGCCCGGATCGCCGCTGGGTTGGTGTCGGTGGCGTCCGCGGAGGAGAGGGCCGTGGGCGCGGGGGATGGTGCGGCGGCCGGAACCACCGTGGTGGGGAGGAGCGGAGGCGAGGCCGCGGCCATGGCGAGGTGGCGATCGGCGATCTCTGTGTCTCGGCGGGTTCGGCGGATCTGAGGAGGGAGAGAGGAGATGGGCGCGAATACAAATGGTGGCCTGACCGACCGACCCTGTCCGTCGTGGTTGCCAAACAAGGCCGCACCGCACCGACAACGGGTCAACGCCCTTCACCAGTCAGCACTCACCACGCTGCACGTTTTCTTCTTGTGAAAAATGGCCTAAAAATCTGCCTTTTATATTTATTTATTTTTGTCGAGAAATAAGTTGTTGTTTTCCTTGGCTCCAGTCCATCAAGAGTTCCTTATTTTACACTCAGAACTGTGACTGGCTGACAAAATTTTTTTTTGCGAGACTGGCTGACAATTGTAAATAACAGCAAAAAGAAAGAAAAGGTTTTTTTTCCAGGTTAGGCAGCAACAAAGAGTAGATCCAGCAACAAATCTTCCTTCTCCTTTTTCAATATCAATCAACCACCATGTACTTTGCTTGGATCTAGAAGAAACAGCCAGCACACCAGCAAAGTTCTTGCAAACCTCCCTTGCGTTATTCCTTGAATGTGTGTGTGTGTGTGTACAATACTACTACTACTAGGCGTCTAGGCCAGCAAATCACGACGGCAAAGACTAGTCTGAAACAACAAATAGTGACTATGAAGAAAATTCAGTTACCAGCCATTTTCCCCTGTAACCGTGAGGCTATAAAACAACACTGCATTGGCAGATTTTTGCTAGGTTAACAAAGAACACACCATTTGAAGATACGATTACCATACCCGAAGGACCAACCAAGATAATATAGACTGATCTCAAGCCAATAATAAGATAGCACAAGCATGCTAGCTGGCACTCAACACGTATGAGTCCCAGTTCCAGTTCCACACAACAGTTACCGATTCTCAGTTCAGCACCAATTAACACACATCTAATGACATTGTCCTTAATAGGCAATAGCCATGGCATTAGGCACCACGAATTTCCTTTATTAAAGATGCGGGCCTCAAGTCTAGAAGGTGGAGCCATTCCAACCAAAGTCCGAGCCCTGCATGATTCATTATAATGAATGTATCAGTGCTCATGATTAGCATGACATTGAGAATATGCTGACAGTGAAGATCTTAACACCATCTACGTAGGCAAGAAGATGGAATGAAACAACAGGTGGTTATTTACATGATCTATTCTTGATGCAAAGCATGCAAACATTGAGCATTTTCTTGTGCAGGATGAGCCTAACAAACAACAAAATTATTATGAGAACTTTGGTGAAGGTTAAAAGGACCCCATGAGTGAGTGCGCACTCAATAAGAAATATTGGCTGCCTACCTTTGAGTCATTGAACTTGAGGTAGAAGCGTGACTTGGGAACGGACAGCTTTGACTCCAGGATAGAAGCAATGCCAGCACTTAGCTTCTTATTCACATTAGGGTTCAGGCCTCCGATGGAAACGAGCTCACCGTAAGCTGCAGGCTCCTGGGTACCTCCAAATGCCATAGGGACCGAACCCTTGAGAACAACCATCACGTACTGTGGGAGGACAACCATTCCAGTTAGTTCCTCAAGATGATAGTACTCAAGAGAAATGGATTTACCCAAATAGGTCAAGAACAGAGAAACAATAAAGGCTAAAGTTCAGTAATTTGAGCCTAGTACCACAGTCCACAGGTCAACAACTAGGCAACAACAACAAAGAAGCCTTTCAGTCCCAGAATCCAAAATAATGTTAGTATGAGAATGAGATTAGCATGGTCAGGTTACGAATACAATGTATTCAGAGAGGTCATTTTTCTCCTGGATAGTAGCAAAGCAGCTGCCTGACTAACACTAAATGGACTACATAGCTAACAGAAGATGAAAATCTGTGACTTCTAGTACGGGGCATAAAATTTGGGTACTGAACTACATAGCAAAGCAGCTGCCTGAGTAACACTAACACAAAGTGACCGATACACATGAGCATTCAAATTTGATCTATGTAAAATTGATGGCTGTAGTTCTAGGGTAACATAAAGGAAAAGCACATGCAGCCTATGGTCTACATATTTAACAGCCTACTTGATATTAGTGCTGAAGAATGGTATAGACTGCTGGTTGATAGAAATCTAGTCCAGAAAAACTGTGAGCATAGACTTTCATCAATTCTTAATATACCACATTCAATAATCAGATTGGAAGGATAGTGAAAATGGTAGGTGAATGGTTTGGCATTTCTTGTACTGCATGATCGCAATGGTCAGTATATCAGTTCTACATAGACAATGGAGATGCAGTCTCATACTTTGAGTTATCTAGTTGTCTTCCTCAGTGCTGAAACTATTAAAATGGAAAAAAAACTAAAGTTTAGTTATATATGAAGTTATGAACTCAATTTAAGCATGGCTACTATGGTGCTGTTTGGTCGAGGACCAGCAACGGCAACGGTGATGCAATCAAATCCAACGCCAACAGTTCCAGTGCAAGGAATACCAGGTATTTGTTTGGTTGGCAGCGTGGCGCGTGAGGGGACCGCATGATGGAGCGAGATGGAGATGGGACTCCCCGAGCGCGCCAAGGGAGCGGATACCACTTGGAGGAGGGTGGGAGAGCAGCGTTCTATGGGGCCGGATCAGTTTACGGCGTGATCAGTTGCAGGCTATGTGTCCCAAACGGAAAACAACGTGATCCATCTAAGCTGTGAATGGATGGCGGGCTGAAAACGCTGAAACAAACAGCCTCTATATGCAGGAAATTGCAGTCCCATTCTAGGGGTTAGGGATTGTAGGTAAAAATCCCCATTGCAGTATTTACCAAAGACTAGAAATACTGGGTGATTTACTGATTAACACTAATTCTCTTTAAACTAACATCAACAAACACGATCAACTGACTGATAACGTACAGAAAGGTGTCATGCAGCGATGCACATCCTGCTCAAAACCCTAACAGATTGTCAAGTGTCAAGTGCCAATTAAAAAAAAAGGAAGCATAATCTCCACCAACCAAATAGACCCACAATCTACAAGAGCCTACACTAGCAACAAGATAAAAGGAACCAGAGGGGAAGAGAGAAGTCTGGGGGAAGGGGAAGGCGGAAGCTTACGGCCTCTGGCTTGCCGATGATGTCGGCGACGGACTTGGAGGCTTCGGCGAGGATGGCGGAGGTGTCCACCCCCTCCAGGTTCACGTTGGTCGACACGTTCAGGCACGGCATCCTCGCTCGCTTCCTCTTCCTCTTCCTCCTCTCCGCGACTGCCTCCGGCTGGCCGCCTTCTCCTCCTCTGCTCTGCTCCGCTCACTTCTCTTCTCTCTGGTATCTGCTGCTCCTCTCCCCTCTATCCTGTGCTACACGGAAAAGGAATCTCATATGCTCTGCCTGGGCTAATAGTGGGCTGTTTGGGCCTGTAAGTTTCCCCTTCGCTATGGGCTCTAGCCTATTGTCTGTCTAGCATTCTCTTGGCCCAGAGCCCATGGTGCAGGGGAAAAAAATCGTAGCAAATTTGCAATGTCCGATGATGATGCACTTGCACAATATTGGAAGTTTGGAACAACCAACTCAGATTATTCTATTTCAGATAGTCACTGAGTTACATAATGCCAAAAATGATCACCAGATTTACATATCCTGGACTGGAATGTTGGACAGAACGAAATTTACAGGAAGAGATTTTCTATTTGAACACAGCTTTCTTTCCTTTTTGGGTTATAACTGAACACAGCTTTCTTGTACAGTACATGGTATGCAACACACAGTTTAAAGTTGTGAGCTCCTTCTAGTCTCCTACAACAGCCACAAGTCAACCCAGCTATCCAACACCAAGTCACCAACTACAAGTGTACACATCTTCCACAGAGCTACATCAGCTACCTGTCACGCGGGGCTATATATGCACATTTCTTGCTACCGTTACCCTTTACTTTCTGGCTGTGGGAGATCATTTGAACAATCGAATGTACATGGTCATATCTATGTTTTACTCACTATCTGACCAGATAACCTCCCAAGGTCCACCTTTGCTCCCTAACCTGAAAACAAGAAAAAATCGATTGTAAAATTTTAAGACTTCCATGCTGCTTCTATTTGAGACTCCAGTACATGAATATTCCCTTTTCCTTGAGTCTGAAACTTGGCTCCTAAAAACTATGAAAAAAAATTAAACCAGAGAAGAACAAAGGATCATCTATTACTACCTCCAGAATCCAGCAACTGCACGCAAACTCATGAACAGAGTAAGACCAGCCCATATGCCACCGAGACCAAACTTAGGAGCAACTACTAGTAGAAATATTGATGAGACTGCCCCCGCAAAAAACTGAAACAACGAAGATTCAATACGATTAGGATGGTAAAGTTGTGTTAAAGTGATGATGACATGATAAAGTGTGATAGTGTCCGAGACATAATAATGTGACAGAGTAGGAATATGAATCAGAACCGTGGAATATGCAGCGTAGGCAAAGTCAGAAACGCCATAGTAGAGCCCATCAGCCACAAATGCAATAGCATTCACCGGCTGAGAAATAGTGACAAACTGCAAATATCCAACAACTGTGAACATAAATTGCTGTACATTTCTTCAGAAATTAAGTGTAAACTTCTCATTTCTCAAGCATGTTCTTACCCAGACTCCTGAACGTGCAACGTCTAAAACTGCTGGATCATCTGTAAACAGCAAGGACAAAGATCCAAACCCAACAAATAAGGAAGCAGCAAGGGCAACACCAGTCACACCTCCAACCTACTAGGAAAAAGATGAACAGTATCAGCTCCTTAAGGATAAGGATAAACCGGTGGCATTTCCGAACTATTTCCAAGAAATGACTTCTTAACCTGCAGGACTCTGTATAAAACCGCGCGGGCTTGCTTGTAGTTCCCTTTTGCATATTCGCTAGCAAGTAGAGCCTGCGCAAATTAGGAATACTTCACAAGTAAATACACAGGTAACTAGTTCGATGAAAGTTCCATTCCAGTAATTTTGCTGACCTGGCCAGCAAGGGCTAGAGCATCATTGAGCAGAGAAATTGTTAACCACACTTGCAAGCATATCTCATAGCCCGCCATTGGAACAGGCCCTTCCCTTGCAGCCAGGGATGTAGATAGTGTCAGTGTCAAGAATACTGAAATTGTCCTGCCAATTAGTAGACCACCTGAAAATCATTCAAATCAAGTGGCTATCATAAAGGTCAATTACACTAATATGTTTTTTTTTACCCGAAAATATATTACACTAAGATGTAAGTTAGGGGCTTAATGCAATAACTATCAAAAGAAGTTGAATTCATGAAGAGCTGTCTGTCTGTTTTGAATCAATACTTTCTTATGATTAGGCAAAAACCATCAGATGAAAAATCCTTGCATATGAGCATGAGGGATATTGATCAACCAGATTTTAGGTAGCGGATGACTCCATTCTCAATTATATTCCATGAGAACAGATCTACTTCTTTATTCAGCTTCCAAAGGAGGATGAATGCTGTCAAGTATCTGAATACATGTAGACAAAAAATACAAATACTTTAGATAATAATAAGTTCGATAATAGTATAGAGGCAAAGATACTCCAAATAAGTAAACCTCATTTTATTTATAAGAATATCATGATGGCATCAACATACTCAGAGGTCACAGTGGCCAGTGCAGCACCGCTTACTCCTAGACCAAGTGGAAAAATAAGTAATGCATCAAGTACTGCATTTAATAGGTTGCCAGCACCTGTAAGCATCATACCATCAGTTCCTTCCTTGATCATTTTGAATCAGTTACATAGAGTAGCTTGAATAAGAAATAAAAAATAGTTACAACAAAAGACTATGCATTTAAATAGCAAGGTCAAAACAATTCCAGATGGAAAAAAAAATAGTGTTATGTGTTACATTATTTTGTCAAAATGAACTGGCAAAGACTTACCCACAGCATACAATGGTGTCCTCATATCCAGGAATCCACGAAATGCACCCTGAGCTGCAAGTGCCACTATGATTGGTGGAGCACCAAGTGCCCTCAGTGTAAGAAACTGTTCTGCTGGTGCTCGCATCGGTGAATCCTGTGGTGACAATAAATAAAAAAACTTATGTTCAGCAAAGAGTATTTTGAAAGAAAACTGCAAGAGTATAGGGAATTAGTCACAGAAGGTGTCATTAAGTATAATTTATAACAGTCGCAACATTATGGAACCTTAAAGTCAGAAAATTTTGAGTTGACAGACCATGGAAACCTGGTTTCATAGACTGAATTCATGAAGCCCACCCACCACAAAATGGGAAAAGGTAAATAGTCTAGAAGTGCTATATTTTTGCAGCGCCAAATGTGTGACATGATAGGAAAATGTTTGTGGACAAGTTTCCCTTCCCATTAGATTCATATAATAAGGTGAAAGCACTTTCAGAGATTTCATTAGGAATAGTGGCTTAGGCACAATGATTTTTGCAGAGATTTCATTAGGAACTTTTTTTTTTGCGAGGAGATTTCATTAGGAATTTAGCCACATAGACATTGGATGGTTCAGACCAACAGCCAACCAAACATACATGAAACACCTAAGAATATTAACACCCAGTGCTGATATCAAATTCAAGGGCAGAAATAGATCCTAGAAATCTGAGCATGCGAATAAATTGGTCTTACGTACGACGGGTATACCAATGATGTTTATCAGGGTCCCAGATCCAACAATCAGAGCTACCATTTCCAACAATCCAATGCCAGCAGCTAGAGCCAAGGATGTTGATACCGCCGGAAGAACCTTCTTTTGTTGCCTTGCCTTCTCTATTGGCGTAAAAAATTCATCTCCTAGGTGAGAACTAAACATTAATAAGTGTAATGCAAACAACAGAGCTTCTTTCAGAAAACAAATGGAAATCTTCATTTGCTTACTTTCCCCTGTGGTGTTAGAATTGCCATCCTTTGCCTGCTGCTCAGCAACAAAGGATGTGGTGACATTAAGTAGCGCACATTAAACAGCTTGGATACCAAATTGAATATGGAAGTAGATGCACCCACAGCCGCAAGCTGAGCCGAACCTGACAAGAGACTCTAACTCATTAAATGGATGAAAAGGTTGACCCCCTCTTAATTTTTACTGAAACTGGTCCCTTCCCATTTGTTTTTTACTGAAACTGGTCTCTTCCCAATTTTGGTATCTAGGCCTTCATGAGGCCCATGAGCTTTTCACATCATCATATAACACAAAGGATAGCCAGATTTTACATTGCCGTGCCGGAGTAAAGAGTAAGGTATGGCATGATTCTAGGTTTGAAATGAAGAAATGCACTGGATTACAAAAGCTCAGAATACTGGATTACCGATATGACCGACGAAGGCGGTGTCGACGAGCGCCGTGATGGGGTCCGCGGCGAGCGCGAGCACGGCGGGCGCGGCGATGGCGAGGATGTCCGCCGCAACCCCGTCAAGCCTGAACCACCCAGGAGCCCCACGCCCCGCGACGACCTCCTTCTCTTCATCTCCCTTAATCTCAGTCTCTGGACCCTTATCGGGTGCCGCCTCGTCGACGACGTCTGTGACGACCGGCTTCCCACCACCACGAGCGCATCGCGGGGAACGACTCCACCGAGGCGGAGTAGAGCGGCGGCGGTGGCAGCGGCAGGAGGTCAAGGAGACACGGCTGGGACCCGCGGACGGGGCTCGGGCGTGCGTGGTGGCTGCAGGCCTCGCCGGCGTCGGCGTCGGCGTCGGCGAGGTCGCCGCCATGGGCGCGCGAGCGAGTGGTCACAGTGGTCGGAGTGTGATTGGTTGGATTGAACGCGATGCGGGCCTGCCTTTTGGGCTCGGTGGCGGTGGGCCCTGGGAGATCTATGGGCTTTTGGCCTCTCCAGCCTAGTGGGCCCTTTCCTAATCCGCCACTGGGCCAATTTCACAAGTTATCAAGTGCTAGTCCTCTCAAAAAGAAAAAAAATATATCAATCAAATGTTAGTATCGTGCACAAATTCAACTGAGGCTACCATGTTCAGACTTCAAATTCCACTAAAAAAATGTTCAGACTTCAAATCTCGAAAGATACCCCGTTTTTCGCTCTCATAAAAGAAAACATACCCCATTTTTCCAAATACTCTGCATTACCAATTGAGACGATTGCCAGATCTCACATTTACTTTATGACTTTACAACAAAAACCCTTTGCCTAAAACTTACGTGAAGCTAGGGTGTAAGCAGAGTACATCCACGAGCCTCAGACCAATTAGTCTCTTCCACATTTACAGCAAAAGTGGGCTTGCCCAAATATGACCACTCTTCCTCACCACCACACTATCTGCATTTCACCTAGTAGTAGTTCACAATTTATATGATTGTACGATGAGGACCTAGACAGTTAATACTCTTCTACTTAATACGCAACTTCTATTGGTTATTTACATGTATTTGTCGTTAGCTGTCAATAATCTTTTTACATCTTCTCGTCGAATCACCTAGACATGGTCATTTCTTGTCACTTATCAGTTCAGTATCTGACCAGATGTGCTTCCATGGTCCACCTTTGCTCCCTAACCTGCACACAACAGCAAAATACTATGAGCCACCAAGGTTCGCTATCCATATTTCAAGAAAAGGGGCAGCTGGAACCTCAGGTAGTACCTCCAAAATCCAGCAGCTGCTCTCAAGCTCATAAAAAGAACTAGACCAGACCAAATGCCACCAAGACCAAGCTTAGGAGCAGCAGCAAGTAGGAATGCCGATGAAATAGCCCCAACAAAAAACTGAACAACACAGATGCCAAAAAATTGTAAGCACGCCATAATCCTGCTACATTTAGTTATGACAACCAAATGGGGGATACAATAGAAAATGATATCCATACCATAGAGTATGCAGCATAGGCGAAGTCAGACACGCCATAGTACAGCCCGTCGATCACGAACGCAATAGCATTTATCGGCTGCGAAATAGTGACAAACTGCAAGAGTTCATATTTTAAAATGAGCATAAACAATATCATGCTTTACTTCTGAAAGTCAGGTGCTTTATTCCAATTATTCTTCATTACCCAGACTCCAGATTTGGCAATGTCTAAAACTGCCGGATCATTTGTGAACAGCACAGAGAAAGACCCAAACCCAAAGAACAGAGCCACAGCCAGTGCAATTCCAGTTACACTTCCAATCTACATTTATAACAAAACGTATCAGCAAGCAGCTCATGACAAGAGACCAGAAGCATTTCTGAACTTCAAAGCGCATTATTAACCTGCAGAACTCTGTATAAAACCAAACGAGCCTGCTTGTAATTCCCTTTTGCATATTCACTCGCAAGTAGAGCCTGCATTGAACTATGGACACTTTAAAACAGAACACATACAGATTTGTAATGTAAGAACCTAAATGAGAAATGCCAAGTAACGTAAAATGTACAGACCTGCCCAGCAAGAGCTAGCGCATCATTGAGCAGAGAAATTGTCAGCCACACTTGCAAGCACAACTGATGGCCGGCCATTGGAACAGGCCCTTCTCTTGCAGCCAGCGATGTCGACAGTGTCATGGTCAGGAGTACTGCAATAGTCCTGCCAATCAGAAGTCCACCTACAGAATAGTTTCCAGTTAAAGTGGCTATCATGGCCTCATGGAGCTCTGCTCTGAACTAGTAACCTATAATTTGGAGTATGTTAAAGATTAATAGAGTTGCGACAAAAAGTTTTAGCAACAAAAGAAGCCTGTCCTGTATCAATTACTTTGTTAGTAAATATTTGGAGCATCCACCAACCTGATTTTAGATAATGTATGATTCCTCCACCAATTACATTTCGGGAAAAGATTACTACTTTACTATTCAGCTTCCAGAGGAGGATGCAAGCAATCACATACCTGACAACAGGCAGAAAGTTGTACCAAGGATTTAGTTCTCATGGGTGCAATTATGGAGATGAAAACGGAGGAATTAAGACAATCCAACAAAGGAAACACATGAAATTCTTAAAATGAATTCAGCATACTCTGATGTCACTGTTGCCAAGGCAGCACCTCTAACTCCAAAACCAAGTGGAAAAACAAGTATGGCGTCAAGTATGACGTTTACCAGGTTGCCAACACCTGCATCCAGAGTGCTTAAATCTTTACTTTTGTCGTTTGCAGGAACATAAAGCATTATAAATAAGACAATCATTAGGCTAAGTTCTCACAACTTGCATTTGTAGTAGCTATCACTTCCTAATTCTTATTGTTGCTCATACTTTAAATCTAAAATTGATAACATTGACATGTCAATTATTGTTAAATTTCTAGATGACCACTGAACTAGGTGTATAGATCACTGAACCCAGTGCCGGAGGCTCCCACATGAGTGGGGTCTGGGGAAGGGAAAAACCGAGGCAAGCCTCCCCCCCGCCCCCCCCGCAAATCTACGCAGAGGCTGCTTCGAACCCACGACCTGGTGACTCAGTGAGACAGCTCTCACCACTGCACCAAGCCTGCCCTTCCTGTATAGATCACTGAAGTGGCAACTAAATGCACAAGACATTTCATCCTGAAACTTGCTCATAAGAAATACATAATTGCAAAAGTTCACATGCTCTAGTTTGTTCATTTCAGCTAAAAGAGTTTCCTATAATCTTACCCACAGCATATAAAGGTGTTTTCGTATCCATGAGCCCACGAAATGCACCCTGTGCAGCAAGTGCTACCACGATTGGTGGAGCACCATATGCCCTAAATGTAAGAAATTGCTCAGCTGGTATCCGCATTGGGGAATCCTGCATAGATAATATACAGTACATTAGGTTTGACAGTTTTGGGTACAGATACTGTAAGAATTACAGATAATAAAAAAACTGGGGCTCAAATGTCAAAACTAAAATAAAGTGTTAGTATTACAGTTAGTCATGTCCAAAATTCAACAAGTAATACAAGGTATATGTCTATATGACAGGTACATGATACTTTTATTTTAAAGAAACATAGCTATATTATGACAACATTTGGGTAGTGTAACTAACGCAATTTCATATTGACTTGACACATTTCCTCATGAAGATAAAAAAATACTGGCTAAGCGGATAACCAACTGGGCGTCAAGTAGTCGATACTAAATTTTTGGAGAATGAAAAGAAATGAAACTATTCTTATACTTACAATAGGTATGCCGATCATGTCCATTAGTGTCCCCGATCCAAAAATCAGTGCTACAGTTTCCATCAGCCCAATACCAGCAGCTAAAGCCAACGATGTTGATACTGCTGGAAGAAACTTCCTTTTCGGGGTCAACTCTTCAGGAGACCTTGGAAAGTCGTATCCTAAGCGAGAACTAAATAACGGATTAGTGTAACACAAATAGTGGGGTCATTTCTAACAAATGTTCGAAATCTTCATCAGCTTACCTTCTCTTGACCCAGCATAATCATTATCCATTGCCTGCTGCTCAGCAACAAAGGATGTGGTCACGTTAAGCAAGGGCACATTAAACAGCTTGGATACCAAATTGAAGACTGAAATTGATACACCAACAGCAGCAAGTTCGGCCGAACCTGATGACAGTAAAATTGTGTGTACTATCTAAATATCAGTGAATGCTCATTGACTAGGAAAAACAGGAAAGATCTATGAAAGGTTTCCATCTGAAGTACAGTATGAGACTTGTATCAGCATTCAGCGGTCCACAAACTGACCCCAGAAAGGCAGAAACTCAGGAAAAGAGGAAGATTTGCTTCACCTAAGTGACCGACGAAGGCAGTATCAACGAGCGCCGCGATGGGGTCGGCGGCGAGCGCGAGGGCGGCGGGCAGAGCGATGCTGAGAATGTCCAGCCCAACCGTATCCAGAGCAAACCAGCCCTGCGCCCCGCGCCCCTTGCCCTCTTCCCCGTTCTTGGCCTCCCGCGTAGAAGCTGTTTCCTCTTCGTCCTCGACCACGGCAGCTTGCTTACCGCTACATCGAGCGGGCCCGCGGCGGCGCTGTGCGAGGCAGTTGCGAAAAGAGGCTTGGTTGAGCCGTGATGACGGGGTCAGGGTGAGAGCGCAGGCGACCGCCCTCACCGTCACCGGCGGCGAGGTCACCATGCGCGCGAGCGAGAGAAAAATATCTCGCTTCCTATTCAGCCACAAATTCAGAGTTGCAAAGTTGCAGACAGACGGGACAGGGGATACGGTGTAATTCTTGTAGAAAAAGCACTATGATCTTGGCACGTGATGATCTTGGCGATGCTGACAGCCTGATACTGATTGCTTGAGCATAGATACGTTAGAAAGCTGACAATTTTGGAAGGAGTATTTTGTGTGGACCATGGCCGTGCAAATTGGATTCCAAAGGTTCTGCGAGGAGCAGGTTCTCAGATGAATCAAATGATATGTGTGGTTCTTGGAACAAGTCTGCCAAATAGATCTTTCGAGATTGCTATACTCGCCTTCAATTTAGGCCAAATGATCATTTTAAAAATTTTCAGTCACCGTGCCCCTTGGGGATGTCGGATTTAAAATTGCACTCAAATAAAAGAGGCGTATGCTCCTCCGGTCACTATTAGGAGTAATTAATAATAGTATAAACATATTGATAATTGATGGCAAAATTTGTTTCAAAAAAATAATCGATGGCAAAAAACGTGTTAAGGATTTTAACCGTACCATTTTCAACACATTAAAATTAATAATAATACTTCAAAATTTATGGACAAAAAATGTACCGTGCCACTTTTTTTGAGAAAGTTGATCGGGATTTTTTTTTAAAAAAAAATACATGTTGTGGTGGGCTTCCCTGCTAGGCCGCCATGGGCTCATGGGCCAATGTGGAATTAGTTGAACGGGGCCGAGCCAACACACTGCCGCGATGGAATCAGTTCGATGAGCCCAAGACCGGCGCCGCGGAGCACTGCCACTGCCGCCACTCGTCTTCACCGGAAACCGCCGCCGCTTTGGTCTCCGTCGTCCCCGTCCCCATCTCCGGCCACCACTAGCTTCCGACCCGTAAGTACCAACGCCCCTTCGCCCCTACCTTATCCCCACAAGCAGACTAGCACTCGCCGCGAGATTCATCCATTCCATCCATGGGACTGGCCTTCGATTCGTGCCGCGTTATGCGTCGTTCGCAGCTTGCAGTTTTTAAGAGGAAACTCTCCCTGGCCGAGGGACGAATCCAGAGGGTGCGTGCATGAGGTTCGCGGGCTGGTACCTGAAGATCGCGGCGGTCGGGGCCTCCATTGGCGCTGCCATGGAGCTCTTCATGATCCACACGGGCTTCTGTACGCTTCTCCCTCCCTGCTCTGCTCAGCATCCAACCCCCCTCACCCTTGTAATATATTATTTCTGATTTCTAATAATCAATCACACTTGAAACAAGTATTATTAGCTGTCCATCTGAGAGCATACATCCAGTCCCCACTTTTTTTTCCCAACATGAAGGTACCTTTAGGCAGATTGCAAAGTTCTCAACTGCAGCATTTCTACTTCTAGATCCAATTGCCACTTGCATTTTCCTGTCATCGAAATTCAGATCAGCTCATTTTGGGAGATCCAGGGGGTGGGGGGATGGCTATTTTAATTTGATGCTTCGGTGCATGTTCCCATTTAACAACAACAATCCCAACTTCTGATACTTTGGTGGCCACACAACGAGTTCAGATTGCCTAGTACCATTAATCCTGTCAGGCTCTCTATTTTTTCACTGCTGCATAGGAAGGCCTCTTACATTTACATTTCTGTACCTTCCCCATGATGCTACAGATGATAAGGTTGTTGTCTTGGAGTCAGAAAAACGAGCTTGGGAAAGCAGTCCAGAGGCCCAGGCTATGAGGGAAGCCCTGAACCCATGGCGCAAGCATGACGAAGAACAGAAGAAACAGTCATGAGTTATGTGTCCTGTCAAGTGATTGTATCCTCCATTTGTAGACCCTTGAATGAGGTAATATGAATGCCAGTCTTATGCATTTGGTGAATAATTTGTCGTACTTCTCTGAAATAGCTTGATGGCTGGATGGATGGTACCTTCCAGGAAAGGTTGAAGGGCTATAGGTAACAAAGCTATTTATTTTTTTCGAGGGAACAAACTACACACTTTCAGACTGGATTTCACTTGTTATGTGTTATTTTAACATTATAACAGCGAAATTGTAGGTATAGAAAGAGGTGAAAGTTGTATATCTGTTTGTACAATAATTGAATGCTCTGTGGATCCCTCGCTGAAGTGTAGTTCCTTTTCAACTATTGCTCAATGAAGTTTAGTTCCTTTTCAACACCTTAGTAGTCCATCCTGACCATTCTTGCAAAATTTAAACTCTCTGTGTCATATTGTCCTATCTGAAGAACTCATTGATCCCCTGTTTGCTGTATCAGTATCTCCTTAATAAAGATTGAAAGAGAAGTTATTTGACTTCAATTTAGGCAGAAAGCTGAAAAGCCAATCAGATCCAATCTCCGAAGTCCTGCATACTTTAAGCCATTAAGTATAACATAAAAACAGTAAACATGGAACATTTTGCACACAATTCTATTTGACTGGCAACAACAGTCTAAACTGACTCATGCTATCTTGGGCAAACTTGTTAGTATTCATGCTCTGTGGACTGTGAATGGTGTGTTGGTTTTGTACTTTAACATATCAGCTATTAAGCCGTTACTTTCCGATCATCTTTGCTTTGTTCAAGTATTTGCATTCACATCCTCCAGTTGTAACCCCTCAAATGAAGTAATACAAATGTGATTCTTTTTGCATTCCAGTGAATATTCTCTCCTACTTCTCTGAAATTGCTGGATGGTAGCTTCCAGGAATGTTTAAAGGTTCATAGGCATGTGTCCACACTGGATTCGCTTTCTACCGTGCTATTTAACAATATAATAACAAAATTATATGTTCAGAAAGGTGACAAAGGTCCATTTCTTTGCCTGAATCGAATGCTCCATGGGCTCCATACTGAATTATATTTCCTTTTTTATTACAGCTCACTGGAGTGGTCCATCTAGGACATCCTTCCAAAATTTAGAACTTTCGTGTCATTTTCTGCTATTTAGAGAACTCGCTGCCATCCTTATTTAATGTAAACATTATGGCCCTGACAAAGATTGAAAGATAAGTTATTTGCTCTGAACTCTACCATGTGATACGTTGTTAAGTAGCCCTAGCTCCAAATCAGAATATTCTTGTCAATCAAACTTTTTTAACTTTGATCATAAATGTATAAGAATTATTAGGTTGATTATTTAAGGTATAGATGTTACTAATTACCGTGAGAAGTACTTCAAAAAAAATAATTCGTTCCTTTGAAATGCCATGTTTTCATTGGTCGAAATTTCAACGTACATAACAACAGTAAATACGGAGGATTTTGCACATGTCTCAGTCAACCAGTAATAAACATTCCAAACTGACTTCATCCAACCTTGGGCCTACTTGTTAGTATTAATCCCAGTAAAGGTAATACTGGTTGTACTTTACATCCCAGTAAAGCATCCTCACTCATCCCTATCAAATCCGGTGCCGCCTGTGTCATCTGCGCCGCCTGGGTCATGAGCCGAACCTGAGGGAGCGGCAGCAAGAGGTAGGGAAGGAGCGGAGGGCAGGCTGAGCGCACGCAGCCAAGAGCAGCGCGAGGGAGGGAGGGCGGCGCTGTACCTGCGTGAGCCATGAGGGAGGAGATGCGGCGGCGCTGCGCCTGCGTGAAGGAGGGAGATGCGGCGGCGATGCATCTGCATGCTTGAAGCAGGGAGATGCGCCTGCGTGAAGAAGGGATGCATGCGGCGGCGCTGCATCTGCGACCGTGAGATGAGAGATGACCTGAGAAGGGATAAGGACACACTCGTGGGCTGCGTATTGGGCTGGGCCAAGCACTTCTCTTTACATTTGCCCCTTTTCCTTTTTTCTCTTTTCTTGCCTATTCCCTGCTGCTATTTTCCTATTTCTTAGAATGGTAAGGCGTCGCCTTGCCTCGCCTAGGCGTCGCCTAGTCGACTTGAATGAGTGGCACGCCACGTCTCGCCTTGGCGTACCCAGTGCAGAGAGCTCCCGCTCTCTGATAAGCTGATAATTTTCTATCCTCTTGATGTCTCTTGTCATGGTATTCATTTTGTGTATTGTATCTAGCCCATTTCACCTAGAACAAAGTCAATTTTTTGTACAAGCTAACTGTGGTTTCAAATCAGTAAGGAACTGATGAAGGAGTTTCTCTGTTAACTGGAAACTTGGTGAAGGTGCTTACAACTTGACCGGCTAGCAGCAGCAGCATAAGCTGGTTTTGTTCGTATGAATAGAACTATGCTTGATGCTAACCCCAGAAATGTGATGCAAGCCCACAGGAAGAAGGTGGTTGAGTAGCACTTCATCCCCATGCACACAATCATGGTGTCAACAATGCCAGTGCTGTTATCCATTACTGTCATCTTTTGGCCATTTCCATCGTATACCATGGCAGCAATCTGGCCATAGAGGAGTGAGCCCAGCGGGATATTGGTGATTAGGATGTTGTGATTCACCCCAACGCTATTTGGTCCAAAGAGCTCGGAGGTCACTGACACTGCTGCAGCAAAGATGAACCCTGAGCTTAGGCCAACTAGTGCTGTTCCTGCTACCAGGGTGCTTGCATCTTGTTGGTTCCACATAAGGAAAAAGGCCATTGGCATGGGGACCAATGCAGCAGCAAGCCACCCTGTGCGAGCAAGTGACACCTTCCTGTATACAAATTTTAGTTAGGAAGCATGTGATATGATGAGATATATGTTTGTGTATAAAGCAAAACAGATACCTGTGAAGGATGTCAGGTAGTGCAGAAAGAAGACGACCGAAGAAGGAGCAGGATGAGTAGACAGCAAGTAGCATGGTGAGCTGTGACTGCTGTTGCAATGACTGCGCAATCTGCCCCAAGTTGTTTGTGTATACCAGGCCAACAGTGGCTCCACAGAAGTAGGCTGTGTAGTAGAGCCAGAAGTCCACACACCGAATGAGCTTCTTTGCACTATGTTCTTCACCGAGGGCCTCCAGGCGGCCCTTGCCCACTATTGTTCCACAACAATTGCCCTCGCCTGGTGCTCCATTGGTTTTTGCACCATCGCATTGGACTCCATCCGATGATTGTTACTGACTAGGAGTGGCTTATGTGGATCATCATGGTTTAGTGGCGATGCAGGGTCAGGGCCATCTGTATCCACATATGAGCAACTGGAGCAGGCAGGGATGATGAGAGGAAGGGCGAGGAGGACCATGGCACCTGTGAGGATGACCCATGCAGTAGAGCCGGTTGCAGTGAAAGATCCAAAGACCACCAGATATATGCCGGTGATGAATGCGAGGATGTAGAGACCGAGGAAGACACGCCTGTCATGCCTGGGCGCACTTTGGAGGTGGCTGTCATTTGTGTGGCAGAGGAGGATTGCTGGGAGTGCAAGAATAGAGACACCAAAAGGGAGGATTGCATTGAGGAGGAGGTATACAGCTGGGGAGGAAGGGGAGAGGGCATTCACAAAGAGAGTGTAGAAGGCAGCGCTGAGCCCGTTGAAGCTTATTGAGAGGAGAGGGCCAGGAGCGGTTGTTCAGAGAGAAGCTGCGGATGCAGAGAACAAAGCAGACTGTGTTGAACCAGCAGATGCTGCACCCTGCTATCAAGCAGACCAAGAACACCTGCAGGGCCCAACATATGAATCAGAATTTGATCAAATAATTAAGTTTAATATAAATTGCATTTGCATGTTATGGTTTTAATTGACTATTTAACCTCTGTCGTCTCTACATCTTGGCTTGAATACATTCGAGTGAAGTGTTTGCAATCAGTTTGTCAAGAAAACCGGTATGCTAATATAGGCTATCTACTGAAAACTGCAGGGTTGATTTCTATGCTGGGAGGTCTATCAATAGGGTCCGGAATGCATTTTACTACTAGAAGAATGTACATCCTTTTTATTTTCCTTTGAAGATGTAGTGATGAATGCTTTTAGAACGTGCTTGGAATGGGACATCTAATCTCATTTTCCTCAACAATTCCCAGTACCCAGATATGTGGTAGGCATTGAGTAGCTGAGCAGGGAATTGAGGTTAGGTATAAAAAACTGTAGTATTTTGTAACGGCACCGTGGCAATGTGACCTTAAAACTTTGTGATTCCATTTATGTGTTGTGACATGCCACATACTTCTCCTGAATGTATTGAAGGAAGGTGTGGAGTAGGTGGATGATGCAGCCGTGACTTGTGAGAATGGAATGGCATGCCTCATGCGTGTGTGATGCCGGTGGGGACGTTGTGGTACCTAGTTGATGTGGTTGCTGAGAACCTACCAAACTTTTTTTGTGTTATGAACTTAGTACTAGTCCTTCAAGACTTTTTCGTTTGGATAAAGATAGTGTACTGTTGGTGCTTGGGGTAAATGAATCTGAATGCTTTGCTTGTTAACAGAAGCAAGAACATTTTACACTTCCCCAGGATGTTGATTCCCTGATGCCAGTTGATGGAATATGTGGTCACTGTTTGAGAGATGAAGGTTTTTAGGATTGGGCACACCTGTCAATGAACAAGATATATACCAGAAAAAGAAAAAGGAAAAAGAAATGCATACAGTTTGGAGGATGTGTTTTTTTAAGGGTTTAGACAAATAAAGAAGCAGAAGTGTGGGCGCGCGCGTGGTGTGCAGCCGTGCAGGTGGCTCATCTAGCAGTCAAAAGCAGAGTTGAGTTAGTTGCAAATAACATTCAATTCGGATCCGAGACTGAATTTGAAATGTACTGGTTGGTTGATTGGTTGCAGCTCGGCCCTTTGTTTGGATTTTGTAAGGAAAATGAGAATGTGATAGAAAAATAAAAATGCCAGACACTGCCATTTGGGGATATTCTTGCTTTACAAAGACAATAATCACTATGTGAAAATGAAAGAAATTTTATGACTATATATATATATATATATATATATATATATAAAGAAAAGGTGAATGAAACAACAAAGAAGAGGGAAGGTGAGAATGGTTTCGTTCGGATAATAAACGTAAGGAAGGAAATGGAGATCCGTTCCGACGGGTGCAGCTGAGATAATACGGTCTTTGTCTATTCAAGAAAAGGAAAGGAGATGCCAGATGGATCGGAGGCGTGGAGCTACTAGCTCCCAGACACAGCCCAGCCCTCAGTGGTGTAGCGTGCTTGCTTGGTGTTTCCGAATATATATATACAAATACAAATATACAAGCACAGCAAGCCTCCGAACAGGAGCCGGCCGGCACGGCATGGTCGTCGCGACCGACGGAAGGACGAGCGGCATGCACAGCACAAGCACAACCCGGCCGGGCCGGCGTCATTTTCTGCTCCGCCGGGCCGGCCATTGGCCATTGCTGCTCGCTGCCACCGTCCCTGATTGCTGATTCCCCGTCATCAGACTCTCCATCGTCGTCTACGTCCATTCCTGTCTTCTTTTATTATTTTGTTGGCTATTTCTTTCTTTCTTTCTTTCTTTCTTTCTCATAGACTAAACGAAACGATCGAGGCGGCCGGCAATTGATCGATGAGGGTGACTGGCATATACTCGTATATGCACTGCCTGCCAACCACGGCTCAACCTCAACGATCGAACATCAGCTGGACACGCCGCCAAGCAGTGACAATGACGACGACACGCACGCACGTACCAGAGGGTAGGGGACGGCGACGGACGCGACCAGGCAGCAGTACTGGACGGCGTAGGCGGCGAGCCCCAAGGCGGCGGAGACCATGAGCACGGCGTGGAGCGGCATGTGGAGCAGCGCCAGGCCCGACGACCACCCCAGCACCTTGCCCAGGTCCGACGCTGTGGCCAGGTAGTTGAGCGCCTCCTGGGAGACCCCCAGCGACGACTTGAGCGCCGACGAGTAGGCCGAGAAGTCGAAGTTGGTCCCCGTCAGCGCCTGGATCCACACCGTCGCCACCAGCACCGCCCACCGCTGCTGCTGCCGGTGCCGGCCCCCTGCTTCCACCTCCTCCTCCTCCCTACCTCGGCCGCCCGGTTGCTGCGCCATGCTTGATTATTGATTGGTTCTGGAATGATGGATTGCAAGGCGCGCGCGCGCTAGCTCCTGCCGGCCAAGCGGACAAGCGCGCGCGGTGCGGTGCCTGTCCGCCCGTGCCAACCGCTCCCTCTCCCTCCTCTGCCTAGCAATCGATCGCGCTGCCTATATATTATTTATTTATTTATACACATGAGCTTTCCTGTTTAGTAATAGTATAAGTCCATTTCTGTTCCATTCTTTTTAAAATATATACTATGGGTGGGGTGATTTCAGTTTTATTTTATAACACTCAACCTTTTTTAAAAAAAAAAATCTAACCAAGTTTATATACACAAATATATATCAACATATACGGTGTGTACAATACTGGTGGGTTCAATTCGTTTCGTGAAAGAAAATGGTGGCTCTAATGGAAATAAGGTGATTTTATATAAATGCCTGACACGATACACGGTCCACGTACGGTCTAAAAGATGATGACATAACACCTTGGTAGATCCTATGAAAGACAGCAAGATTGAAAAGAATTCAGGCCAAACAAGAGTATCTTGTATATAATTGGCTCTATGGAGGTCTCGATTAAAGACATCAAAGAGCCAATTGTCAGTGAGAACCAGGCTCATCAATCCACTATGCAAAACGTGGAGCAAAATTGCCTCTGCAGGTAGAAATGAAGTCGAGAGTAGTAAGCTAGAGTCCAAGTACTTCGAAGCAAGGTGGCGCCCTTCAGACTTGACCAAGATGCAACGATGCAAACTTCAGCGTGCTCATTGTAAGAAAAATCGAGCAAGAAGCCTATAGTTTCTTGAAAGACAACCCTATACAATATCGCCCTTAAAACAAAACAACTGATAGCTTGACATCGTTGCTTTGTTGCTATGTGTTTTAAAACTCGCATATGCCTCGCTTTAAAAACAAGGAGCCATACGTTGACAGCAAAAAGGGCTAGATGAGGTTATATTTACTTGGAGGTTGAGATGTCAGAAGTTTCGAGTTGCGTGAGATTCCCAGGTCTCGGGAGTTGGCTTGGGTGTCGGAAGTTTCGACGTTCCCTATCCGACTCTACCTATTTCCAATTCTGATCCAAAGTCCTCCGATCTCATGGAAAACTTGCAGATTGCATCCTTGAAAGGTTTCCATTGGAATAAGTCCACACCCTCTATATATATTAGAGGGTCATGCCTGGTTGAGGTATTCAATACACAATGGACAAAATCAATTTACCTTACATTTTTTATCTTTTATCTCAAGCTCTTCCAACCCTCTTGCTGGTCCATCATTTCTCTCGACGGGATTTGCCAGTGTTTTAAGTGACCTTGCCAATCCTAGAACACCCCCACCGTGCGTCTCCCCGCTAGGTCTTCCCTGGAGGTGTTTGCAGGTTTCGCGGGCGAAGAACGAGCATCTAATTAGCCTCGTCGACCTACCGGTCCACATCGACGTTGAGATCTTCCTTCACTGCGTGTGTGACCTTGAGTGATGCAGCCTCTATCGGTATGACCAAAATCAGGGTCAATACCTACTAGTGTATGGTCATCTAATATTATTTGTCGTGAAGAATATAAACATCATTTTTTCATATTGACACAATATTGCACGTCCAAGCACTTGTATTGTAGTACATTCCCTTAATTCATCTGTAGAGAGTTAATTCATCATCAATTGGCTTCGGGTTAACGAATGGAACATCCGAACATGCATACGAATCTAATAAAGGCTATGTATAAGCTGTGCTCGGCTTGCACGCATATGATCATTATTTAGATGCTACTAGCTAGCTAATTGAGCAATTTGGACTGTATGTATCATGCAGTGCATGGAAATGGCTGTACATGATTGATGTATATAGGCATCCATCTTGGATCGATGGATGGCACACAGATAACAGAACATGATCAGGGTTTTGTTTTGGCCTTATTACAAAGTAATAATGCAGAGGGCTATGTATATGTAATAATATAATACAGGTAGCAGGCAGGCAGATTATTTGTTAACTAGGAGGCAGAGACGTCACTACTGGAAACACGTGCTTTGCCGAGGGTCTGAGCCTTTGCCGAGGGCCAAATCTCGGGCACTCAGCAAAGACACTCTTTGTCGAGGGCCAGACACAGGAGCCCTCGGCAAAGAACGGCTCTCGGCAAAGAGGCCTTTGCCGAGGGTCCGGCCCTCGGCAAAGACAGGCCCACGGCAAATCAAATCTTTGCCGAGGGCCGCGGCCCTCGGCAAAGATGTCCTCGGCAAATTAGGCCCGTTGGGTCACGGCGGCCATTCCCGTCAAGCTTTGCCGAGGGCCACCCATTAGGCCCTCGGCAAAGGGTTTTTTTTTCTGTGAAACCAGTTTTTCGGCAATTTTTTTTAAGTCTTTGCCGAGGGCCCTAGACCAGGCCCTCGGCAAAGATTTTTTTTGGAACCAGTTTTTCGGCCAATTTTTTTATATAAATCGTCTTTGCCGAGGGCCCGACGGGTTTCAGGCATCCGACGTCGCAACTCGCTCAAAACCTTCTCAATTTTTTACTACAGCCTACACATGCGATAACATGACATCTCGCCAAGTTTCGTGATTTTCGGACTTCGTATGTATTTTACATAATTTTAAAACACTTTTCCGGCAAGTCGGTCGTCATGTTACGCGAAGAAGATGCGCGAAATTTGATACGAGTTCGTGGATAGGGACTCAACATGCACCAATTAACATGAATAATATTTTTCGAAACACTACATTGCAATATTTCATGCACCTGCAGTTCAAATTTGACATATTCGAAAAAAATCAAAGAATCGAAATAAATTAAGGAAATATAAAAAAATCGAAATTGGCCCAAATTTTAAAATTGAGTTCAAAACAATGTATTGTAGCACCACAAAAAAACTGGGCTAAAAAACCAAAAAAATTGCCGAGGGCTCTTTGCCGAGGGCCTGGCCCGTGGCCCTCGGCAAAGAATTTTTTTAAAAAAAATAAAAAAATCTTTGCCGAGGGCCCTGGATCTGGGCCCTCGGCAAAGGGCCCAAACCTAAATCGGGCCACCAGCCCAAATTCCCGATCGAAATCTTGTCAAAAAAAATTCCCGATCGAAACCACATCTCCTTCCCCACGCTTGCTTCTGCCGGGCCCACACGTCCACCACCACCACACAGGCCACATACCATCAATCCCTTCGCCTGCCCTAAGTCTGCCGTCAGCCACACCACAAGCCCCGCCGCCTTCAAGCCCACCACCGCCACTCACAACCACGACGCCACATGCATGCCGTCATACTCGCCCCGCCTTGCTGCTTAGCCTGCCCATCACGCAGTGCACCCGTCGCCCAGCGCCTCCACCCGCCACATACATGTCACACGCTGGCCTGGCCACCCAGCCGCCCACTTGTAGGTGATTCCCTGGTGGTGCCGATCGTATCCCGAGTGCTGGGCCATGATCGTGGACAAGTGGTTATCATAGGACTTTGTTGACACGCACGAGAGGCAGCGGGAACAGCGTCTGATGAGGCAAGGTCCAACTCACCATCAAGGCAGCAGTAGCCTCCCCGGATACAAACAAGCATACGTAAGTGATTTCTTTCATTTATTTTGACGCTCAATTCTCGCTTGATTTATCACCATCTTCCCTGCCTTTCTCGCAGGAGGCTGCGCGCACCCGCGAGAAGGTGTCGGAGTTCTCTGCGTGGGCTATGTCCCACATGGGCGGTGGTGTCGCCCTCTGTCTCCTTCGACCCGGCTGCCTCTTGCCCAGGTGTTTCAATTCCGACGTGTACACTAAAGTCCAAGAGTACACGCCAACGGTAAGGGAGATCTATGGGGAAGATTACAATGTGCGCCCGAGCCCATTGATGCGAGGCGATCATGAGGCTCGGAGGAGGCAAGAAGCACCTGGCGGTCAGGATTGCGAGATAGCGCCATCGACTCCACCACTCGTTCCCTCCTCGACGCTATCTCGAGCACGGAGCACGAGCTCTAGCCAGCCCATACGCCCCACGGCCTTCTCCAAAGATCGCAGCGGGTCCAAGCACCTGTAAATCTGTTTTACTCATCGTACGTAGATATTTACACACCTAAATTAGATTTGCATTACCGATCATTGGAGTGAAATATTGCAGGCCGAGCTGCAAGAAACAAGAAGGCAAAGTCAAGAGCAGAACGTGGAGCTGACCGCACAGCTGCAGGCCCAGAAGGTCGCGTTCGAGGCCGCGTAGAAGCAGATGGCGGAGATGATGGTGATCATACAAAGTCTTGGGCAAGCATCGGGTGTACACAATGCGGTTTTAGCTCCTCCACCTCCTACTCCTGTAGCTACTCCTGTAAGTATGAAAGTTCACTTTTCGCTTGTGCTTTGCATGTATGTCGGCCTTCGTGCCGCCAGTGGATGTCGGCGTTAGTGCCGTTGTGGATGTCGGCGTTAGTGTATGTCGTTTCTTGCGGAGTTTTGGAAACCTCCCGTGCGAGGAGGTGTCTGCCGAAATTTTCAATTGAGTCTAATCTTTTTGTATTCCTAGATGCAATCTCTAAGTTTCAAAACTGTTTTCCCGGATTACTCACACATACAATCTCTGCTCCTTTGTGCAACTTCCGTCCGCGGGTTCCAATCAACCCGCTAGTGCGTCACCGGGTGATCCTACTTTTCCTTCACCATCGTCTCATAGGCTAGCTTGATGAGGACTCGTGCTAGGTGATGTGGTTGGACTTTAGCGTGATTTGTGATTTATGGTTGTGACTTGTGCTTGGATTTCATTAACTTGTCATAATAAACATGTGAATGATGATGAACATGTGACTTGTCGTTGTAATATATTATGATTTGTGGTTCACAATTATGGTTGTGATATATTGTGAGAAAATAGGTTCTGTGTGATATATATATATATATATATATATATATATATATATATATATGAAATGCTTGTGTCGATGGAATGCAAAAAACAAAACAAAAATTAAATTTCTGCCTCTTTGCCGAGGGCAATGACCAAGGCCCTCGGCAAAGAAGGGTCCTTTGCCGAGGGCCCTAGCAATAG